CAAACGCTTGGTTCTTGGAATGTTCTTTCCCTGATTCTCCCTCTGGATGTCTCTTTCTTATCACTTAGGACTCCACTCAAATGTCACGTCTTAAGAGCATCTCCCTCCCTCAGTCACTTTCTATCCCAATACCTTATTTTCTTTGAGCAATAAAGAAATAAAATATTTTAATAATAGTATTTTGAATAATTTTATTTGCTAACACACTTGATGTCTTTCATGGGAGACATAGCTGCATGAAAGCAGAGATTTTGTCTTTATTTTTTTAATTGAGGAATAGTTCACTACCTTGTTTATCAGTGTTTGTGCCACAATCTAAAGAGCTCCTGGCACAAAGCAGGTATTTGTTGGACTAAATAAATAGTATCAACAACTGCAAGCCCTTGAGGAAAAATACTACGTGCTACTCATTATCATCCCTAACGACCAGCAGCCAATCATCCTTACTGTAACAAACATTCTTCCCCAGCGTAAGTACCCGAAAAAAATAAAAACCATTACTCACATTTGTTGTTGTTTTTAGTCCATCCATTGTCTTGTCTTGTAATCTTCCTTTTTTTCTACTTAAGTTTATCCTGCAAAAGTAAAATATTTTCCATTTTCGGATGTGGACTGGATCTTTGGGAAAAGGGTTCAGCTAGCTTAAAAAAAAGTGAAAATTTTAAAAAAGCCTTTAAAAAGGTGAGATTATATAAATCCATAGCTTATTCATGTGACAAATAGAAATAGCCCTGGAAATAAATACAAACGTGTCATCCTATTGGTAAGGAAATTTAAATGAGAGTCTCTGAAAAATAAAAGATAATAGTAATTTAAAATTCTGTAGTGTCACTAAATCTCCTAAGATCCAGATTGTGATTTCATAGACTGGAGTGGTTTTAAGACTAGTCTGGGGTTCTGCAACTGGGACAGATTGAGGTTGGTCCAGAACTCTTCAGTAAGCAAACATTATTATCTCCTATTAAGTTAAGAAGTATTTAAATCCACTTGATTATGGTGTATGATCTCTTAAATCAATCAGTTTCTGGAGGTGAAAGATAAGCAAATACATGCAAAATATTTTCCATTCCTTATTTGTCTCTCATCCTCCTAATGGATTCTTAAACATTGGTGCTCAGTTCATTCATATAGCTGTGACACTGGGGGTTGTAAGGATAAATCCACATCTAAGAAATCTAAATTTAAAAAATTGCCTGGTGCCAAAAAGAACAGAGACCATTACCCTCTCCCTTTTCTTTTAGTAATTCCTTTAGAAAAATAAAAACTATAAATGATTTCTCTTTGAGATGTCTGTACACCTTTTAAAAAGCTAAATAAACTTCTTGCCAGTTTTATAACCCCTTAAGTTCTTTTTTAGGGGCCTTGGAGCTATCTCTTTGAAATGTGAACATCAAGAATGGTTGCCCCACCTCCCTGTCTCCGTGGAGTTTAAGCATTGGCTTTTGGCTCCAAGATGTAACTTCCGATTATTTTTCCTTGGCGTAAAGACAACAGGTATGTAATTAATTTTACCTGCCTGGTCATATCAAGGAGTGAGACCTTTTTTGTGTCTGCAGTCTCTTCAGTGCATCACAGTACTCTTTAATGCTTATTCAACAATAAAACTGTTCCATTCTTTTCTACTTTTCCGTATCTTGTGGAGAGGATATTTTGGGGATGGCAGATTTTATTTTTAATTATTTCCCCTACCGAGTTCTCCACTTTTGGCACTTGTATACAGGCAGGCTAATTATTTCCCATTCCCCTCCATACTTACTTTAGGCAGTAAAGGACAGTAGGAAGGTCATGGAGGTTTAAAATCAAACAACCCTGAAATTTAAATTTAAATTGTGCTTTTCTTTTCACCAGTATTCTGAAGTATGGACAAGTTACTTAACTTCTTTGAACTCTGACTGCCTCATCTATAAAACGATAATTCATTATATATGAAGTAACTAATCTGACACCTGCGAGTGTCTTTACACATGAAGGAAACAAAGTTATACTGGACTCCTTTAACATATTAAACGTTCGTTCCAACCCTCCTTTTCTTGTGGGCATCTCTTAAATCCCAAGGCAGTGTCCACTTCATTAATCTCAAGCAGAGTAATGAGGCAACGAACTCGCACTGTCGACCTTACAAGTTTAAAAAGTTTTAGTAGGCAAAGTACGTTAACGGAGCCCTCGTAATTTAGATGCAAAGGGAGAAGAACAGACTGCGGGGGTCCCCATATGCAAATACATGAGTTACAAGCGCGTACAGGCGACAGCAGCTTCAGCACTTCCTCTCGAGGGCGCTCCGGTACGCCCGCGCTGCGCCGCCCGCCGGGGCGGAGGCGGAGATTTATTTGCATGTGCGAAATCGGGAAGAGGGGGAACCACCCATCGAAAACCCCGGCCGTCGTTCCCCCCAGGCCCGGACGGCCGGCCCCACTTCACCGCCTGGCCCGCCCTCAAGTGTTCGCGAGCTGCCGGCCCTCTCCACGTCACCGCACCCTCCCACAGCTCCTGAACTTTAAGCCACGCGCCCAAGAACATCCTGGAGGAGGGGGATTTCTCCCGAGCCGGCGGCTTTTGCCCGCTCGCAGCCGTTACCTCCGGGCTCCCAGCGTTCCCGAAGATTCCGCACTCCCGCTTCCCACACGGGGTCCCACGCCCGCAGCGGCTGTGGGGGAGGGGGCGGGAGCGGGGGC